GTATTCACTCCCTCACTTACCAGCCTGTCCTTCGTTATCATCATCAGGGTCACCTGTTTTCACCTTGTTATGTCTGATTCATGCTTGTATTTAGTTTGCTTCTGTTCAGTCTGTCCTTGTCGGTTGTTAAAGTTATATGGATGTGTTTAGTGTGTGTTTCTGCCCGTCATTCTGCCTGTCTGTCTGTACCTGTGAGTTTGATCAGTAAAACTGTTTGATTTGGAGCTTTTGACTCAGCCATCTTCTTCTACCCGCACAACACCGTGACAGTCACAGTTATGTTCAGTTTGTCTTCAGAGATTCGCGTTTTTGTTGTTTACACGGAGACCGTTTTCAGAAACATGCACTTTGAAACCCGTTTTCAAAACTTTGCGTTTTCACGCACCCAAAACGCAGTTGTCGTGAAAACGAACGGCCAAAACGCATAAAAAGTTTTACGCTTTTTAGTTAAAAACGGTGTTGTGTAAACAGTATTCATGGACTTTTAGTTTGTTTTCATTCACATCATGTGTTCCTTTGTTTGATTTTCCCGCCACTCCTTTGTTTCTATAGTTACTGTTATTACGTTCATGTGCTCGTCATTAATTATCCTGTTTGAGTTACTAAAGTTCTTCCCTCACAGTCCTTCAGCGTTTGGTCGACGTTACATTTAGTGTGTTGCCCTGCCTGTCTGATTATTATTTGTATTATCTATGGATATGGACAATGCATTTTTACATCCCTTTTGCATGATGTATTAAAAACCAAATGTATAGTAATTGTTTAGTAGTCCAGCATACACTACTCTAGTACACTACAGTGGCCAAATGTTATGGTTTACAAAGCCCCTTTGTCATGTCTGCTACAGACTGTGCGATTTCGGCAATCCAATAAGATCATTACACATTACGACATGGATCTAATAAACTTTGGGTACGACATGCATGTAGACTGTACAATGACGACATCTATTAAATCGTATGCTCCGGCGCAAGTTAGTATAGAAGAATAAAATCATCAGCATGCGCTAGTGGTAAACAAATAAAGCAAGATGACTTTGGCAATTGTGGTCTTTATGTGCGATGAAAAACCAACACAGTCTCATCCCAAGAAGTCATATAACTGACGTCTTGGGACGTCTTTTGACCATACGTCAATATCCGCCTTTTTAGGGTACCCTTAAACGTCGGTTTATGACGATCCTGGGACGTCATACAACTGACGCTTTACCTTTAACGTCAGTTAGGTGACGGGGTAGGTTTAGGGGTAGGTTTAGGTCTGGGGTAGAGTTAGGATCCGATAACGTCATCTAACCGACGTTTAAGGGTACCCTAAAAAGGAGGATATTGACGTATGGTCAAAAGACGTCCCAAGACGTCAGTTATATGACATCTTGGGATGAGACTGCGCTGGAAAAACAGAGGAGGAAGCAAAACAGGAGAATATGGATGCGGTCATGGGAAAGGATCGAAGGGAACAGAGGCCAATTTAGAATTATCGCAGGCTATCTTTAGTCGCAAACCATCGTTTATGAGCCACGACCACAAAAAAATCGCCACGATTAGTCATATTTCGTCTGGGACAGCCCAAAATCGTACAATGTGTACCGGGCATTAGGAGATACTGTTTTGTTACTAATTGTTGTTTGGCTAATTTGAAATTGATGTGGCCAATAAAGTCCATTAAGTGTGACTTCTACTGAAAGCTGAATCACTTTTCCTTTTGTTTGGAAGGAAATATTTTAAGGCAAACGGGGAATCAATCTCTATCAAACGCGTTTGCTTTCTTGATGTCCATTCATTGGGCACTGCATTAACAAAGTTAATATTGCCTTAATTATTTAGCCATTGCTGAGAATTGATTGTCCTGCACAACAGGAGAGAAGGCCAGGGAAGAGTTTAGCTAACAATCAGTCATGAAGCACTGCCAGCTTTCAGAACGCCCTGCTTTTAGACTCATTTTAGGCTTGCTTAACTCTGAGTGCAGAAACATATGGAGAGAAAGAATTGGCATGAGTGTGCAGCAACTGAATCTCTAATTGAAAATACACTAATGGAATGATGAAGCTTGTCTTATATTGACAAATAATGCTGGCAATGCCTTCTAGCCCAGCCCCAAACCACATTCGCAATGTTTGCTTCCAGCAGTCGAGTCGCTCATTAAAACCGTTAGAAAAGATAGATGGTGAAAGAACATGGGGCGGCGTATGCAAAGAAATTTGCAAGTATAAGAAGAGAGCTGAAGTCTGTGGACAGAACGAGCCGTGCTAACAGAAAATCAATACGAGGAAACGGCATCGACTTGCTAAAAATTATTAATCTTCCCAGACAACAAGCTCATGCAGGCATTACTTTGTTACGATGCAAAAGGCCCCCAGCCACATCTAGACATATATTCTCCAAAACCAAGAGTTGAGTTCAGCTGTGAAATAGTCCCAAAACAAGCGGTAAATTCTGTTTGTTGTGGTGAAAAGTGCAAAGCTGTTTAAACCTGCATTAAAAATAACAAGCAACACCTTTCTACAGTCTGGTGTCACATTGGCGCTTGACAACATGTCAGAGACTGTTGCAATGTGCTGCACATAAATAAACTGTGATACATTTTTTTTATGGCAAAACTTTCAGACTTTGTCATTTAAATTCCATGTAAAAGGAGCCTTTGTTTTTGCGAGTGTCAGGCAGTATAATGAATTGGTTGAAAAGTGAGAGTGCAAAAAAATAATAGTAATAAATCATGTAAAAAAATTGGCAAACACACGGATCAAAATATCAGTATAATTGTCACAATCACGTTAGTTTGGCCTCGTTATGTTTCATCATCGTTGTTGTCACGGACACTAATTTATGTTCAGCCGTCCACTCATCAATCACCATCAATATCACCTGTACTGTATATATGCTCAGTTGTGTTTCAGTTCGGTGTCTGGTGACGTCCATTGTGGAAGTGTTTTATGTTGCTCTGTTCCTGTTTGATTACCCGTTGGATTTATTAAATATTATCTTTTTGCATTCATCTTCTTCTTTGTGTTTTTATACAACCACCCTGTGTGACAATAATAGTAAAATGCAACTATGCAGTTGTATTTAAAATATATATATGATATAAAGGATTCATAAAGATTTCTACATTTTTAAAGCTGTGCATATGTAAATATAAAGAAATGTATCCTTTTTTTTTCTCAGCAAGGATGCATTAAATTTATCAAAAATGACTAAAGACTTTTACATAGTAAAAAAAAAAAAAATCGACTTAAATGCCAATCTTCTACTCTATTCAACAAACAATTCTAAAAAAAATAAAAAATAAAAAAACAAGTCGCTCAACTGAGTTCAACGCTGTTAATAATAATAAATGTTTCTTGAGCACCAAATCAGCATATTAGAATGATTTCTGTGACAATCAAGACTGGAGTAATGATGCTGAAAATTTATTATTTTAAAATATAACCCGTTAAAAAGCTGTTATTTTAAACTGAAATATATAATACAATCACAATATTACTGTTTTTACTGTATTTTTGATCAAATAAATGCAGCCTTGGTAAGCATAAAATACTTTTAAAAAACATTTAAAAAAATCTTACCCTGGCCAAACATTTGATAAATAGTGTACAACAAACCATCATATTTTTTTTGTGTACTAAGAGCTGGTTCATATGGAAGTTAGTGCTAGCATATATCAACTATACTTGTAACAATCCACATATCATAATCACTGTTAAACCATTAGAATTGAATTTCATATTCTGTTATTGAGCTTAAATAAATATGGCTTGAAATAGCTTTAGTATGCTGAATCACGTTGCTTTTTCAGAGTTTAAAGGCTATGGATACTGGATCAAGGGACAGACATTTTGTATTTACCATCTGAGATTTTAGTCTTACACAGAATGGTCATTGCTGAAATAAAAAACAGACGCATTAGTAAAAACAATATGCCTGGTAAAACCATATCTCTACAGTAGTATAGTATTGTATTGTCTTTGCTTAAATAGTGGGCTGAATGGTCTTATTTGGCCGTTTTTTTTAAACTATAGCCTTAAACTCGAAACTGATGAAACCTGCTTACAGAAGTCAGAATAAACAAAAATACAGGTTTCCCAGTAGCAGAGTTGCAGGTGAGTGACATTGTCTCTTCACATGTCAGACAGATTATTATTATTTTTTTGTCAGGTTCCACTTAATACAGTGGGGAGAATAAGGATGCTAAGGGGCTTAGAAACAAGAACCAAATGTCATGATGTTGAATTCAGATGACCTCTCTGGTAATCTCTGTGTCGACACTCAATTACCACGTCTTGATCTCCCTGACAAAAGGTAAATCACACCTGACTCTATTGGATGAATCACCCAATGATCCTGACGACGAGGAAGATAAAAACCTTCTAGAGTTTTGTAGATTCCTATAGAAATCTGGACTGAAAATATATTGTCTGCTATTTTTAGTTGGACTGTATACAAAACAATCAGGATGCTAAAAAGCATCTAAGAAGTAAACACAATCCTACTGGATAAATTGTCATTTTTAATTTGTTTCATTTTTGTTATATCCAGGATTACTTTATTTGATTCATTTAAGACTGATTCCAAATGATGGTTTCAATTGGATATTGGATATTCAATTGGACTGTACATGTCTTTATTTTTGACTAGACCGTCTTCAATGAGCTGGTTCTGTCGTAAAGCCCTGCAATAATAATTTAGTATGAATGAATACACAGGAAGTACTCATTAATATGACTACAAACGTTTCATTAAGTATAAGCCTCTCCAATTAAACAGTAACATCCTTAAACAAAGGTCTTAACTGAACAGGCGGCGTTCTGTTTTAGTTGAATGTTATTTGGATTAACTAGCAGATGTTGGAGTGGGTGTATGTGATGATTCAAACATGAAAGTTTAGGTTCTCTTTTTTTTTTTACTGATTTGAAAGCACCAATTACTATGCACTACGCACTGCCTAGTTTCCCACTGGAGAAGCTGTTCCTAGATCAGTGTACAAATGCGGGGAAGCTGACTTACACAGTGACTCCTTTGATCTTGCTGGCTTCCACGGTTGCAATCGAGTGTTTGGCTCCGGACTGCACATCCCATTCAACCCTCCACTGGTTACTCTTCGACTTGGTGCTGAGGAGGTTCACCCCTTTCTTTGCTTTCACCCTGTGAATAAGACACAGCAGTATAAATATACAGTATATGGCTGGAGTTTGGATTTAAGCGTTCAGCTCCAAGAAGGCGCTAGACACCTTGGGATACCCATTGAATTCTCTGTTTTAGTCTTCCAATATCTTAAGTATCATATAAAGAGGTTTAATGCTATCACATTTATCACTAGATGAATGCACAGTACGAAAAATGTGTTGTTTGGTTGTTAATTTAAAGGAACAACTGTTAATGTGCTTTTCATGAATTTTCATGGACAAACTTCATGTTGGGGTGAAAAACCAAACCAAACCAAACCAAACCAAACCAAAACAAAACAAAACAAAACAAAACAAAACAACTGTTAAAGGGATACTCCACCCAAAAATGAAAATTCTGTCATCATTTACTTGCCCTCAAGTTGTTGCAAACCTGTATGAGTTTCTTTCTTCTGCTGAACACAAAGGAATATATTTTGAAGAACAATTGGAGCCAAACAGTTGTTTGGCACCATTGACTTCCATATAGAAAAAAAATATATACTATGGAAGTCAGCCGCGTTTCCACTGCCGGGCCAGGGCCGGGCCGTGCTAGTGCGTGCCAGGACCAGTCGCGTTTCCACTGTCACTTCCGGGGCTTGATCGGGGCTTACTCCGGGCCAACGGCCAGGATTTCTGGCCCGTCGAATACCTTGGGCCAAAGCGGGCCAGCTCGGGCTAGAGGAGTGGTTACGAACAGAGGCGGGGATTACCTGAGTCGAGAGACAGGAGCGCCGAATGATTCTGTCAGCATTAAAGACTTTTAAAATAATTTAACTCACTTTCATGTTTTAATGCCTTCTGTTTGTGATCCGATGTGGATTCTGATCACCGTATAAGGTAGAAATATTTATACGCGATGCAAAAGACTATGCGCGCTAACCATTACCATAGTAAACATAGTAAACGCTTGAAAATACGCATAGTAAAAAAACATGGTGAACGCTTGAAGAAGTCAGACCAATCATAAAGGCTATCACAATCATGTTTTTATTTTATCTGTCAGTAGCCTACATATACTACATAGTAGTCTCTTTATACCGGACTATCTACTTTTTTTCGGGAGCTTCCTGTTTCTCTGACTGAAAATATATCTGTAGCTACTGGGAGTCGAGACTGTGCTAACGCTCCTCAGGTCGTATTTTTGGTGGCATATAACATTATTTGTAGAAATTATCATTCTTTCCAAATGTGATATATGTCCTGTAACTACCAAATAAACAGAAACAGCCTCGACTGAATAATGTAAGTGTGTCCTCTTTCTTTTGTGAAATAGACCTAACGGTCATTTATTTCTGTGTGACTAATGTGCAATTTTGACATAAATTAATTCATTCTGATCAATATATCACTTTTTATTGTAAACCTGTGGTAAAACATCGATGCTTGGGTTTGAAATATTCAAGTAAACAACAAAAATGCCAGCAAACGGCCGCTTTTATCATGTTTGTTTTGCGATGCACGCTGTTTCCAGTGATTTCTTTCTGATTAGTTTTCTGATAAAACTTCCATTTGTTGGTGAAATGATGGGTTAGTGTGACGTTGTTCCAGAGAGGCGTGTTGCGGGCGTGTTTTAGTGACGCGCTGTGGAGATTCTGGCCCGACAGTGTAAACGCAGGCCAGGTGCTACTGGCCCGAGGCTATTAGCCCGGCACGGCCCGTTTAAAGCCCTGGCCTAGCACTGGCCCGACAGTGGAAACGACTTGAGGGTGAGTAAATGATGACAGAATTTTCATTTTTGGGTGGAGTATCCCTTTAATGCGTCTGTTCACATAGCATGCTGTCATTGTGACAGATTTATTTTACTGATTTATTTCTTTATGGACAGTAAAACTTTGCCTCTCTTTCATTTAGCCTGTCCGATGTTTTTTTACTAATTACATGCAAAAATCAGGCCAAAATTTAATGCCCAAACTTCTTGGTGGTGTGAACAGGCCTAAAGTGTTTAATTTTGCAACTCAAATAAGCAAAACATGAAAAAAAAAAAAGAAAAAAAAAAACATAAAAGCGAAACAAAACACAAACCAAAATGAAACAAAAAACAATACGGTAACAATAACAACGAAAAAAAGGTAATATAAGAAAATGAGATATAATAAATGTTTACATTAAAGTAATGTAAAACAGTCAAACAAAATAAAGATATCCCATGTTCAGTACTTGCAGGAATAATTACTGTTATATAAATCCACTCCTTCAGAAGCTCATTTGGTTGTCAATCTGTCCTGGAAACCAAATCCTATTTCCACATGACTTCTGCTTCTTCATTATGACCTCTGAGACTTTACATCTAAAAAGCGTCTTCTGTGCATCAATTTATGCGCACTAAAGCTAATACTCATCATATGCATTTCTCCTCTGTCCATTAAAATTCAAAAACATCAGCCTTTTCTCTGATCCGCAACCAGATCCGATGCTAAAATCCCTGTGGAAAACACCCCCGCTCTTTCAGAGAAGCCATAACTTCAAACGCCACAGTCGTGCTGTGTTTCCAGCAGTGTTGTGTTTCAATAGAAGCTGCTGCGGTTCATACATGTGCTGTTTAACACCTTGAATCGGTGCAGTGACACAAGACTTGGTAAAGCCTCTGGATTACAGACCACTCTCTCGGAGTTCCTACTATCTGATATCTACCTAAAGCAGCGGTGAGAATCCACCGCTTTGAGCTCTGCCCACAGCAAAGAGCCATTCAGCTGCAATGCCGCAAAAACGGTGGACACATGCGAGACGTGAGATGACGAGCGAAAAAGAGTGAGATAGAAAAAAAGAGAGAGAATGAAATATCAAAATAGGGAGATTATGATTTCATCCGTTTTAAATTAAACAGCTAAAAAGTTCACATCATGATGTTTCTCACACACTATTAATCCTGGTGATGAAATAATCTGATCTTTAAAGCAGCTGTGCACACACACACACACACACACACACACACACACATACACCTGTGACTGCACATCCAATGAATTCTATATTAATCCCTATATTATTTATCTTACTGTAAAAGAATATTTTTCAAAGTTGTAAATACAACTAAGATTATTGGAGTACATTTGACAAGAAAACACAATTTCAGTGTTTCTACTTTAACATTTCATGTTTAATTCATTGTGTTGCTGTTACTTTGTAATTACTGTGTAATTATTTATTTTCTAACACATTCTGAGTGAAAATAGTTTCAAAGCAAATCCTACACCATTTTTTCCCATGTATTAATGAGTTGCTACAAACAATTAGAATGTTGAACAGTCTACAGCTAAATAAGTAAAGTTGATAAGGCTTATTTACTATATCACTTGGCAGAGTAAATGTTTACTGTGATTATAGTAATATCTATATCTGCACATGCAATACATCAAAAGAAAGAACAGAGCCTCTGCGGTAAAAAAAGAACAACAGCCACATTTTATTCTAGCTTCATGCCTTCTTTTTTATCAACACTTGAATGTGGGTAAGTTTCATTAAAAAGCACATTTTTGAACAAAAAGCTAAGAAAATCACGCTTTTGTCAAGGACTCGGAGAAGTCATCGCTTGATTGGGTTCAGAAGGATAATCAACACATACAGTTGATGGAGTGGATCGATTCCATCAACACTCCCAGAGCTTCATAGTCCTATAGCTCCTCCTGGGTCGACATTTCTGGTTAGGTTTGGATTTATATGCGGTTTAATGTTTGATGATCATGTTATTTTACATATGCATAAGCAATGCTTTTTATTGCTTATTTTTCACCTGTGTTTTGATCCGGAGAAGATGAGCAATACCTCCCTACTGTATAACAGTGAAAACTTGGAATAATGGAAATTTCCGTCAATGGCGGGGAAGCATTTGCTGTGTCTGAAATCACTCCCTATCCACTATATAGTGCACTATATAGGGTGTCGGCCATTTTGTAGTGGTGTCCGAATTCTGAGTGAACGACATCGTTCCCTACATTCGTTCAATACTTTTACCCACAATCCTCTCTGATTTTGAGTGTACATCCTATGTACACTTGCTGAAGCACTATTTCCCAGAATCCAATGCGTAGAGGACTGAGCGCCTGTGAAAGTGCGGGAGCGAGTGAGTTTAAACCAGCAATTACTTTACAGCTTTTTTTTCTACCTTTTTTTTTATTAATCATTACTTGAATAAAACATATTAAAATATTGAGAAAATATTATATACATGAATGTTAAAATTAAAATGAACTGATATTAATAGGGTAAATTATATAGGTATATTTTTTTTTAAATGAAAATATAGTTTTTATTTAATGTGTTTTACTGTAAGCCAGGTGTTTTAATAATTTGTGGCATTGTTGTTAATTCGTTAAACTGTAAGGAAGGGATGATAATTTGGTGGATGATTTAAAAATATTCTACAAATACAAACTACCTTGTAACCAATCACGTCAACCTGTGATCATCAAAAAGTGGATCTCTGAGCTGGTGTGAGTGAGTGGAGGCGGGGCTAATTTGCAAATTCATAGACCCGCGTATAATAAATGAGGCAAAGGTGTAGAGTTACATTCAAGCTATTTAAAGGCATGAATAATTTTTCTAAGGGAAAAAAAAAAAAACGTTTAATTATGTAAGTTTGGTGATCAAATGAGTTTTAAGGGATACAATTATTGACTACAGGGGACTTTAAGAACTTCACAAGAAAGTTCTGCAAGGCGGCTGTTCTTCTACACTTTAGGAGCCTATGGGAACTGCACTAAATGGTTGACCAAACACTCGTAACGTAACGAAACATTCATTGATAGCTGAATCCGTCTCTAGGAATAACCTCAGTCCGGTTAACCTCAAAAACGCCGTCCTTTCTCTTTGAACCGCTGCTTCGAATTGCACTTACCTGATAAAAGGCGGCCCCTGCTTTGAGGAGTAGACCATGACCAATAGCAGAGGCTTCAGTCGCCCATTTCAACAACTCCCATCAACTGAGTCTTATCTCATCCCCTCAGCCCCTCCATCAAGCACAGTATTAATGATCACAGG